CCCCCCACTGTGTGCACTTGTGTCCAGAGGCGGCTCAGTTTGCCAGCTCTGGAAAATGGGTTGGGCACCTTGTCAGGCTCTTTCCCCAGGACCGCACCCTGCGTTTTGCCCCAGGCCTCCCAGTGCAGACTACGTGATGCGTCTGCAGCCTTGGGAGGCCCATTCTGCACCACTCAGCCTGGCCTGTCCCTCTGGCCCAGTCAGCAGGAGGCTTCTGGCTTTTTCTCACAAGAGCACGCTGAGCCAAGGCTTTCCCTGCGTCCGCTCGGCCCACATGAGGTGTTCTGGAAAGCCAAGCATTGCAGTCTGTTTCTGTGTTGAAATTTAAAATGAGTGTTTATAGCCATCTTCTGTTCCACACAGATCTGTCGAGCCCGACCACAGCTGGGTGATGGGCAGGGGAGCCCACACTTGGGTCCCTGCCTTCGTGGACCTTGCATCCCAGTGCTAACAAAATACACCAACATTTTAGCGAGTGCTGTCAGGCATGCAGTGTGGTCACTCTCCAGACGTCAGGCGGGGGGACACTGAGTTGACGGGAGATAGCTTTTGATTGTGGGTGTCGTCCAGAGCAGCAGCCTCGCCCCTGCTGGGCCAGAGCTGGCATGCAGGCGGAGGGTCTGGGCATGCCTAGGAGGCTTGGACCCCGTTTCTGGGGCCGTTCCGGCACTTTTCAGTGGCGTATGGCTCCTCTGTGGGCACAAATGGAGAAACCTGGCCAGAAGGCATCGCTCGAGGTGCTCACTGTAGTATCTGGGGCAGCGGGGCGTGGAGGGCATCAGCAGGAGAGTGTGCGGCTAGGGGTCAGGTAAGAGGGGTCCTTGCTGACTGCAGAGGTCTGGCATCAGAACGGGGTGCTGAGACACCCACAGCATTTGGACATGGATGGAAACGGAACGGAACGTGGATGGTGTTCTCCTTACGAACTTTTTTTATCTCTAATGTCACCATTTCAAACCCCTGTTGCTTATAACTTGACACGACCTTGAAACCCCTTTCTGAGGCCTCAGCCCACACACGGGTTGGGGGGCCGCGAGCCGTGCCTTCACCTGCAGGTGCCTGGTGAGGCCAGTAAGGAGGGGGTTGCCTGTTTGCAACATGTTTGTAACATACTGGGACCCAGGGCGCCTCCCAGCTGGCATCAGACATGAGGCCGTCTTGAGGTGAGGCCAGACTCTGACCTGTGTCCACTCCTTTTAGGGTCAGGAAAGGATTCCCCTGTGAAGCCAGAGTGGTGGCACGGATCCTTCCTCAGTTTTTAGATGACTTCTTCCCACCCCAGGATGTCATGAACAAAGTCATTGGGGAATTTCTGTCCAACCAGCAGCCATACCCACAGTTCATGGCCACCGTTGTGTACAAGGTGAGGGCACGGGGTCACGGGCCGGGAGAAGCCCCGACTTCCCGGACCGAATGCCTTTTAACATCTGGATGCGCTGACCTGGTGCAGGTGCTGGTGGGCCCCACTCCTCACCCTGCAAACTGCAGCGCCCCTTACCCAGCACCCCTGCTTCGGTAGAGCTGTGGCCCCTGACCCTCTGGGCCTCTCGTCCTCTCAGGTTTTCCAGACCCTGCACAGCAGTGGGCAGTCGTCCATGGTCCGGGACTGGGTCATGCTGTCCCTCTCCAACTTCACCCAGAGGAGCCCGGTGGCCATGGCTGTGTGGAGCCTCTCCTGCTTCTTCGTCAGTGCTTCCACTAGCCCCTGGGTCTCCGCCGTGTATCCTTCCGGGGCCGGGCCGGGGCCCGTTTACCAGTCCTGTGGTCTCTTCTGTCTGTGTCTGGGTTGATGCTTCCCGTTAAAGTTTTTGGAACCTAACCTTTGCCAGAAACTCAGATGTCGAAATGACATATATCTTAAGCCTGAGGGGGGTGCAGCCCTGACAAGGAAACGTTTGCCACGCTGACCAGGACTGCCTGGAGGGGTGGGAGGGTGGCACCAGCTCCCTGTGGCCCTCCCTCCCTCCCTCCCGCCCCGTCCCCAGTCGAGGGCCCCGTGCAGCTGGGGTGGTGGCCGATGCTGCTTCTCATTATTCCTTGTCATCGTGCCCCATGTCATCCTCTCGGGTAAAAGGCCTCAGTGAAGATCTGGTTCCCACCCCCAAAAACGCTGGCTGCCAAAAGGGGATGTTCTCCCTCAGCAGCCTTCCCCCAAGACAGACCAGAGCCTCTGAGCAGACGGCTGTCCTGCTGCTGGCGGCCGGCCTCGCTCAGTGTTGCCGGGAGGGCCCCGGGCCGGGAGGGCATGGCTCTGCTCTCGCCGAGCGGGAGCGGAGCCCGTGGGAGCGGCCGCGGCCGGCGCCGAGCAGGGAGCTGGGCCAGGTAAGTGCTGTGGACTGGAGCACCCTCTCCCTGGAGCTCCCCCAGCCGGAGCAGGGCAGCGTCCTTTAGCCTTGCCCGCGTAGCCGGTGGGAGCTGAGGCGGGAGGCGGCTCCAGCCGTGCCACCCGGGTCTGCCGGCCGCTGCTCCGGTGGCTCTCGGGACTCCTGGGCCCCGACCTGTGCCGGGCGAGGACAGCCTGGTGAGGACGGGGAGGCGCACCTGGGAGACCGCTCTTCCCTCACTCGAGCCTTGCTCCCTTAACTCCCCTGCCAGCCTTCCCCACGTCATCAGCAGGATGGGCAAGCTGGAGCGAGTGGACGTTAACCTCTTCTGCCTGGTGGCCACAGACTTTTACAGACACCAGATAGAGGAGGAGCTGGACCGCCGGGCCTTCCAGTCCGTGTTCGAGGTGGTCGCGGCTCCGGGAAACCCATACCATCGACTGTTGACTTGTTTGCGGAACGTCCACAAAGTCGCCTCGTGCTGAGTGCCCACGTGGGGCAGCAGCAGAGCCCGGGGGCCTGCCCGCGCCGGCGTGGCTCCACACACGGGCCCCCCTCGAGCGGCCCCGTGGCCGGGCAGGCGGTGTCCGTCTCTGCCCTGTGGCGGAAGGGCCCCCTGGCGGCAGGGCTGCGTGCCGGGAACACGTGCGGCAGCGTGGGGCCGCGCCCGAGTCCTCGCGGGGAGCGGGAGCAGCTGTGCGTCACTAACCCTCTGTGCTGCACTCGTGTCACATGCCAGCCGCCCAGGTGTCCCCTCCTCCCGCTGCCCGGCCTGCTCGCGGTTGCTCTTGCGTCTGGGACGAATGTCCTCGGTCCTGCAGGTTGGCTGTCGGCCTCTCTGCTGTCCCATAGGCAGAAGGTGGCGCCATCAGGCTTTCGAGAGCGCTCTCCGCGGCTCAGCCGGGGTCGGGCCTCACCGAGCACTGGTGTGTGCGCGGGGGGCGGGGGCTGGGAGCGCGACCCCCGGCGCCGTGCTTCCCTTTCTCTGTCTTCTTCTCAGGATTGAAAATGCAATTATATCAGTAAAGAGATTAATTTTACGGTAGCTTTTCACGCCCGCGTAGAGTATGTGCATCGCAAGTCTGTGCTGCATGTGACAGCCCTCGCCGAGCCGCCCCAGCCGGTCCTTGCCCTCCCCTGTAACAGCCGGTGGGCTCCGCGGCGTGCTCCGTCCGTCCTTCCTTACGCCGTTCACGCCTGATAAGAGCATAGAGACGTTTGCTGATCCGACGTCTGCATCGTAATTCACACAGCCACACACTGGGGACCGGAAAGCGCCCACTCCTGTCCCGTGCCTGCCCGTGGCGCCCTCGTCCTTAGGACGGCTCCAGAGCCCCCCCACTCAGCAGCGAAGGACAGCCGTGCCGGCACCCAGCTGACAAGGCCAGCCTGCCCGGGTGCGGGCAGCCTGTCTCCAGCCCTCGTGCCCTCCAGCTCCCGTCCCCAAGCCGAGTATGGCTGCCCAGGGCTGTCTGGCCGCTGCCGGGATCTGCTTCCCACGTGGCCCCTCTTGTGTTGTTAGGGGCCCAGGCGTGTGATGGAGCTACATTTGTCTGCACGCCTTGGTCATGAGCAAAGCTTGGCTTCTTGGCAACCATTAGGGAAAGGCCCCAGCAGCTCCTTGGCCCCTTTTCCAGCTCAGCACATCTGCTAGGCCTCCTTCCAGCCCGGGAGGGTGTAGACCTATGCCCCTGGAGCCGTGGTGGGGCTCATTCGGGGGAAGGGGCAGGAAGGAGACAGGGTAGGGCAGCGACTGGCCAGCCCATGGCCCCTCAGGCCCAGGTCACTGGACCAGCTCTGTTTCCAGCCCCAAGGCAGCCAAGTCGTTCGACGCAAACGAGGCCTGGACATTTGGGTCGACCTTGGCTTAGGAGCTCGCGTGCCTACAAGTGGGGCTGTGCTTGCCGTCGGCCCCCAGAGGGAGGCCAGTCATGTGGTGAATGCCAGGCTGCTCAGTTTGGTCTTGAGTTTAAGTGCAGACAGCGTTTTGGGTATTTCACGTGGTAAGTGGAGATAATTTGGAAGCTATCTTCCAGAGTCTGCAGAGAAGAAAGAGAACGAGTCTCGGTATGTGGTTAGCGACCCTTGTGTCTGAGCGTAGGCCTGACGTCCCACTGCAGGCCACACAGCGAGCCGCAGGGCCTGGAGACCCCCGAGCTCCCCCCCACTGCCCCAGAGCTCTGTTTCTTTCCTGCCCTTTCCTGCAACAACAGTTTGGGGCCTGCTGGGGTGTGGGGTTTTCCCACCAGGCCCTGCAGAGGCCCCACCGCGCCAGGGCACGAGCGATAGAATTGGGTCACATGTTTGATGCGTAGCACCGTAAGGGCACTTTAACAGAAAGGAAGTCGGCGTTGTCCCTCGCTCCCTCGGGGCTCCCATTTCTCCTCCCGCCTTTTCCCATAAGTCGGCTGGAACGTGTGTGAGCGCAGGAAGGTGCTCAGAACCTGCTGTCTCCCACCCCCGTCGCCTCGGCGGCTTGGAGATGGGAGCACCCCGGCCTGATGCTGTTCCTGCTGAGGAGTTTACATCTGTAGGAAGTAACACTGTGAATGTAAAGTTCGGAACTCTTCCCCTTCGAGTCCATGCCACTGGGCTCGCCTGAAGTGTAACTGGCTTTGCCTTGATTGCCATGAAATAGTCGGTTCTTAACGGGGGCCCGGAGCCCGGCTCTGGCCACAGGTGCCACCCAAGAGACGGGCCTGTGTGCTCGGGAGATGGAGAGGAGTCAGTGAGTGAAGTCCTTTTGGCCACGGGTGAGTGTGTGTGTGTGTGCATATGTGCGAGTCTGTAATTCTGTGTATATTGCAATACACAGACGTGCAAGGCTACGAGATTGGCCGCGTAAGTTCTTTGTAGAAGTTCTGTTTCTTAGACGTGCCCTGTGGAGTTGGCTGCGTGACGGAGGTGTCTGGGAGCAGTGTCGTTGCTCGTTGAAATCCTGCTGAGGAAAGGGTCCACCTGGCCAGCTCTCTGCACAAGAAGTTAGGACTTTATCAGCTTACTAGAAGTCTATATAGCAAGCAGCAATCATATCATCAATCCAAATTTTGTTGAAAATACCAATTTGGCAGGTTTGTGGGGAGTGGGGCGGGGGGGGGCTGTTTTTGTTTTCCTGCTGATAATATCAGGATGGACTTGAACGAAACCAGGGCAGAATTGTTTGGCAACGCACTTAAGCGTGTCTTCTCCAGAAGCGTGCCTCCCTCCCCCAACGCCCCACTGAGGGCTGCAGGTGACCCCCGGCTGCCAGAGCCCGCGCCTCCTGCCCCATCACGTTTTTGTCAGCAAATGGATCCTTCACAGAGGATGAACGAGGCTGACCCCTTCAGACACCCGGAGGGCAGCGTCACGAGGCCTTGCCTCTTAAAGGACCCCCGCCGCACCCAGGCACCCCTCCGTTGCCGGCTGTCACTTCCAAGTCCCCAGGGCCGGGGGCGGCTTCTCCCGGGCAGCCGCGGTGAGCCCTGTTGCTGGTTCCATCGGAACGGACTCTGAACAGCGGTAACTGCTCTCGGCCATCGTGCAGGCGATGCTTCCTTCTGCGGTGGCTGCAGGGGGCTCTGTGGTTTGGGGGGAGTGGAATCCATTTCCTCTCAATGCCACGAGCGTCCTTCCTAGCATACATCCTCGCTTTGGTGTTTGTCCTTCCCTCTGTGGTGAGCCCTCGAAGCCATGGCTACCGACCAGGGGGACAGTGGGGCGGTTCTGTCTATGGGGCAATGGGCAGGGGCAGGGGAGCGGTGTGAGAGCCGCCCAGCCCCGCTGGCAAGCTCAGGAGGGCTCAGCTGGTGCTGCCGGCCCGGGCGCGGCCTCCGCGGGGAGTGGGCCACTCAGATGGCGGTGACCCGTGAAAGTGGCCTGGAGGGGTCAGGGGTCCCGTTCCCCCATGCACCTGTCACTTTTCATGGCGTCGAAGGAACCCCCTCCCCCCAAGCGCTTCTGGGAGCACCTGGCCCTGGACAGTCACTGCCGTTTCCTGGTGCAGACTGGGTGGCGGCCACTGGCGCTGGAGGACCATGGCCTCGTCGACCGCAGCAAGTGGCTTGGCTCTGGGTGAAGCGGGGCCGCCTGTCCGTGCACGCTGCCTCGTGCTCGCGGGTGTGAGCTCGAGACGCCCCACCACCTCCATCCCCGCCTGCTGGGAGCCAGCGAGGCTGTGAGGGGCACGTCCCGGAGCCCTGACCTGGACCTGACCGTCCGCTCCCAAGAGGAGAGGGAAGGACTGACAAGCGACGTGTGTTTAAGTTTTTTAAACTTCCGCGAACATTGTGTATCTGAATTAAAGGGAAATGACACCACGCACTGCTGTACGAGGCGTGCTTGCTTGTGGAGAGCCTCTCCGGGGAGGCGGGGTGGCCGCCACACTGGCCCGCGCCCGGAGGGGGGGGGGGCTGGGCACGTCCCAGGAGGTCCCCGCAGACGTGAGCTGCTGGGGTGAAGGGTTCCGGGGCCTTGGAGGGTGGTGAGGGCAGCCCAGGGCTGGAGTGCTCACAGGGGGCCGTGCCTCGGCCTCGGGGCTCCCCCACGCCCCGCGGGCTCCTGGGCTCCTGGCGCACCCGTTTGAGTGTGTGAGTTGTTCTGGCTTCAAGGACTCGCCGCCCCCCCAAAGGCTTGCCTAGTCAGCAGAATGGGGCACCGTCCTCCTTAGCCCTGGTTCAGCCCCTCCTTGGGAGCCGTGGCGAGTCGGTGTCTGGTAATGTTGGGGTGCAGCTGCTTTACCCGGCAGCCTGCACAGACAGCACCCCTAGTGCCATGGGTTCCCGTCCGTTGGGGGGAGTGGCCCGCCCGGTCCCTCAGCAGGGCGGCCTCGGAGCCCACGCCGTGGCCGGTGCCAGATAAGTGCGCTCGCACAGCTTGGCCCCTGCCCCTGGGCTGCAGCCCTGTGACCAGGCACATGGGCTTCCGGCTTCCGGGGCTGTGCAGCAGCTCTGTGCACGGGCCCTCGGGTGCCACAGGACCCCCTGTCCCTGCACAGGAGTGGGCCTTTGTCCTCACGTCAGGTGTTCTAGACATTTGATGGGGGTGACTTCATCTCCCCAAATTTGTCTCCTCTGTGATGCAATTCCAGGGCCTCTGATGGTACCTCGGAGCGACCAAGGCTGTGTCCCCCTTCCTGGTCCCAGCACGGACAGCCAGACCCTGCCTGGCGCGCCTGAGCACACGTGGTCTCCCTGTTACTTCCAGAAAGAAAAGGGCCCAGAGCCCCTGCTGCTCATGTCCCCCGCTCGCCCTCTGCCGCTACGGCAGAGGGACCCTCAGGAGAGGGTGAGACCCTGCTTTCCTTGAGAAGAAGCCCCTGAGGCCCTTCTAGGTGTGGGGTGGAGGGCTGTGCCTTGCCCCCCAGGCAGCTTGGCGGTAGTCGGAGCGCTGCCGGATGAAGCGTTCTGCCGGTGCCCATGGGCCCAGAGGTGGGCCTGCTTGGTGGTGTCGCCCAAGACTCTGGGCAGCCATGAGCATCTCCTGCGGTTCCCCCTGGTTTGGGAGCCTTACCGGCCCAGCCCCTCCACCTGGTTGGATGGCACTTCCCCACCGGCCTCCCAGGCAGGAAACCGAAGGCCACTCGTGGCCATGTGCCCTAGGGGCCCCGAGGTCCTCAGGCCTTCACCCCCCATGGGCCTGAGGGTCTCTTGGGGCATGGGCGGGGCTGTCGGGGTTGGGGTCTGCCCACCGAGGCGGAGGCCGAAAGTCACAGTCTGAGCTCCCCGCGGATGTAGGGAAAGGGGTGGTGGTGCCAGCACAGTGAGCTGGGCCCTACAGCACCCACAACCCCTGCAGCGCTGGGCCGCTTCCAGCCTCCTTCCACTGTGAGCCAGTCCAAGCTGGGATGATCGCCGCCCCCTTCCACGGGAATAGCCCTCCCTGTGACCCCGCCACACGCCATGTGCTTCCCCGCCTTCGCCCAGACTGGAGCATTTCCACTGCTAAACTTCCCCACCCACTGTGATAGGCTCTGCTCACTGGCGTCTGCCCCTGGAAGGTGCCAGAGACTCCTCGATGGGATCCCCGCTTCCCACCTGGGGCTCCGGGTCGTCTGGGTAGGGCCAGCACACCTAAGTATCTCAGACCGGCGTTGGTTTCCGGGGAGACAGGTCTACAGGGTGTGGCCGCACGGGTGTCCCCCGGCCTCCTGCCGGGGCTTAACCACCCCTTCTCCCTGCAGGTACTGCTGGATACCCAGCCCCCGGCCCTCTGCCTCCCCATCCCACAGAGATTGAGGGTCCCCGCAGGCCATGCAGCTGTGCCAAGGTATGGAGCCCCTCCCCAGCAAGAACAGACAGGGCCCTCCCACCTAGCTCGTGCTTGTCCTCGGAGGCCCGACCTCAGGGCTCCGCTTCCGGAAGCTCTGGGGGTTTCCCGTGCCCACTGACACCTGAGAAGACACTTGGAGTCCAGCCTTTCACCCTGACTCCCCTGGACGTGCTGGCTGGAGGGGAGGCGAGAGGTGTAGACACCTCCTCTGGGGCCACCAGTTTGCCAGGGCCCTGAGCACAGAGTGATGTCCACAGGCCGGCAGCTGCCCCCTGGAGGCAGGGGCCTCGGCTAGCCTGAGGGTCCCCAGCCCGGGGGCCCTGGGGCAGCAGCTCTTCCTGAGGAGTGTTTGCCATCACCAGCCAGCCTCTGCCCTCTCCAGAAGCTGCAAGGCCACGCACGTGGTAGGGAGCATTCTCCAGGCACACGGCGGTTTGCATTGGCTACGTCCTGTGTGCCCTGCTGAGGACCATAGGCACAGGAGGGGTGGCAGGTGTCCTTTACCTCTCCCTTGGGCCTCCCCCCACGTGCTGGGCCAGGGCCAGGGGCAGCCCCTGGAGCTGTGGTTGCAGAAAGGCCCTCCGGTGGGGCTGAGAGCTGGCACTAGGGCCCTGGGGTCAGGTCCTTTGCCTGAGGACTGCGGGCTTTCTGGGAGACCTTTCAGTCACTCATTCACGCTGCAAACATCCCGAGCACATCGTGCCAGGCACCCAGGCCCAGAGGAGTACAGCAGCCCTGAGCCTTCCTGGGGGGTGCTGCGTGGGCCCGGAGAGGAAGGGGCTCCTACGGGGAGCTGATGGGGTCCAGGTCTTGAACCAAGAACCCACTGAAGGGACAAGGGGGCCTTCCGAGTCCCCACACATGTCCCTGCTGCCCTTCCACCTGAGGGCCTGGGCGGAGACTCAGGGACACCTCCCCACCCCCACCTCTGCGCTCCAGGCTCAGCTGTCCCAGTCTGGGGTGGCTTGGAGTGACACTTTTCTCTCCGTGGTCAGGTCAGAGGAGGACCCTTTGTTAGCCATGGTGATTTTCAGCCTGAACTTCGTGAGTCCCTCCCCCCCCCCCCCCCCCCCCCCGGTTTAGGCCACTGCCAGGGACCCCCACAAAGGCCAGGCAGGCTCACTGATGGCCCGTGGATGCCACGGCCTGGCTGGGCATCTGGGCCTAGCAGGCAGGCAGGCAGGACTGGGGCCTGTCCAGCAGGTGTGATGGGCTCTTACTGATAAACCATGTGAGTTTTGTCTTTTAATTTTGAATGTTGATGCCTTTAGTGATGCGTTCTCTCCGTAGGCCTCACGGCTCCCACGGCCCTGGTGTCCTGCCCTGGCTGACCCTCCTGCTGCTGACCTCTGCTGGCCAGCCCCAGGGGGCACTGCAGCCCATCCCCAGCCTGGCTCTCAAGCCCTCCTTTCTGACCACCCCCCCAGGGACAGTCACGCTGTCTGTCACTGCCCCGTCCCCTGTGCTCTGGCCTCGCCAACCTTGCTGCCACTGTGGGGCTGCTTCTTGCGGGCAGCGCCCCCTGCCTTCCTGGGGATCCAGGCCGGTTCCCCTCGTCTGGGTCCAGAGTTCACCGTTGTCCTGCGGTACCTTCCCAGCCCTGCTGGCGACCCGCGGCCCTGGCCCTTGAGACCTTGAGATGGACGAGCCTCCGTCAAGCCCTGGAAAAGACCCGCTGAGAGAGGGTGAGGGTCCCCCAGCCAAGGACCCCAGCCATGCCAGCAGCCATCTTGTCCAGGGTCTGCGTTGGGGGCCTCCCAGGAGACCAGGAGACCCCAGAAATGGTGGGCAGTTTGCATTGGCTACGTCCTGTGTGCCCGGCCAAGGACCATAGGCACAGGAGGGGTGACAGGTGTCCTTTACTGGGACCCTGCCAGCCAGTGCTCCTTCCAGAGGCAGCACAGCACGGGGTCAGATTCGGCTTCAACCACCGGCTTTCAAAGCCTGGCCCAGCCCTTTGCCCACAGGGTGACCTCGCCTCTCTACACCCTTGGCCTTTTTATTTGTAAAATGGGAGTAATAGTGCCAGCTTCTTTTACAACAGTTCCTTGAGGATCAAAGTAGAAAATACTTGTATTTAGTCTTTAAAACAGTGCCTGGCTTTCCGTGAATACTCAAATTCTTATTCTCTCACTTTTGCCAGTGTTCTTAACCCAGGGTCACACAGGTCCAATTGAGGGGAAAAAGGGAAGAAGGACCAAAGTGGGGTAGGAAGACTTCAGACAGGAGGTGATGTCAGAATAGGGCTTTAAAGAATGAATAGGAGTTTGCCAGTAAGTCCAAAGGCAAAGTCTAGGGGATCTATTGGGAAGAGAGAGGGGCTACTTAAGGCTGGTCCCTTCATTTGTTCATTTCTTTACTCAGCGAGCCTTTAGCAAACCCTTTCCTGTGGGGTTCCGGGGATACAAAGAGCACCCCACTAGCCAGGTAGAAACGGGTCTAGGGACAGACGGTGCTGAGCAAGGTGGTTAGGGCTGTGGTGGGGCTGCCCAGGGTGGGAGGGACACACACACTGCCCGCCTGTGCCCATTGCCCTCTGGCCCCAAGAACTGCCCCGGCTTCTCTGCCCAGCCCACGTCACCCAGGCTGGCAACCAGTCCCACCACAAAGAGGGGAGACAGGTGGTCAGACGGGGCAGAGCCCCACTGCTGCCCAGCCTGTACTGATGCGTTTACATTTCTCCCCGTAAAATGTGAGCACGTTGGCCAGGGGGACGCTGTGTGTGGAGCACGTCACAGGGAGGCGAGTGTTGGCGGGTCCTCGAGGGCACCTGCTGCTCGAGCTGTGTCCCCCTCTGCGTGCACCTCTGCGCTCTCCCCCCTTCACCGCCCACCCCCCTCTCAGTGGCGCTGGGCCCTCCTTCCGTCCCACCCTGACTCCCTGTCTCCGGCTCTCCCTGGCGCCTGGCGCCTCGGCCCGTGTGCGTGGGGCGGGGCTGAGGCGGGGGCCGAGGCCTGGAGCCCACGCCTGGGGAGTGCGGTCAGCCCCGTCAGCCCGCTGCACACGGGGCTCCCGGCAGCAGTGTCTGCTGGCTGGGCTGGGGCGGGAGGCACGGCCGGCGCCTGGGCCACCGGTTTTGGGTCTGGCCCGCTCGCTGCAATATTGATGGCCCGTCAGGGCAGCCCTGATTCCTGCGCTCTCAGTTAAAAGGTTTCTGTTGTTGTAGCTTATGCAGTTGCTCTGTTGCTATGGAAACGTGACATCAAAATGACGTTTCCCGTTTAAAAGCTTTTAACTAAATTCCTGCCTGTCAGATGTAGGCCCCATTTTGAGCACGGAGCTGCCTTCCAGGAGTGGGGCTCCCGCCCTGTGCGCAGGCCCCAGGCCCCGCCTGAGCTCTTTTAACCCCGCAGGTGCCTCCAGCATGGCGGCGGCCGAGGTGCCCGGCTACCTCGTGTCCCCGCAGACGGAGAAGCACCGGCGAGCCCGCAACTGGACGGATGCCGAGATGCGCGGCCTCATGCTCGTCTGGGAGGAGTTCTTCGACGAGCTGAAGCAGACCAAGCGCAACGCCAAGGTGTACGAGAAGATGGCCAGCAAGCTGCTGGAGATGACGGGGGAGCGCCGGCTGGGCGAGGAGATCAAGATCAAGATCACCAACATGACCTTCCAGTACAGGTGGGCCCCACGTGCCGCACGCCTGTGCGCCCCCCGTGCTCCCTGCCCGGCGCTGGCCGCTGGGGGCCGCGGGGAGCCCCTCGGAGCTGAGTCGGGAAGGCCTCGTGTGGGCAGAGCCCAGCCAGCGAGATGGGGCCTGCACAGACCATGTGTGCAGCCTCCCGTCAGAGGTGGGAAACCGAGGCCCAGCGAGGGCAGGGCTGGCACAATTCGCAACATACCCCAGGCCCCTGCCTTGGGTGCCACGTGCAGGCGGCTCCCGCTTGGCCCACACGCACCCTCCCGCCGGGAGGGAGAATGCAGGCCGGCTGCCCAGGCGTGGCTCTGCTAAGTAGGGTGCCTGCCGTACAGACAGGGAAACCAAGGCCGGAGGTGAGAAGGAGGCTCAGCTCCCAGGCCTGCAAGTCCTGCCTGGTGCTGACACTCGGTCATTTCCAGCAGCCGGCGGCTGGCCGCGGTCAGGGAGCAGGGTGCGTAGTAGGGCCGATGTTGGAGCCCTGGAGCTCCCAGCAGGGCCTCACTTGTGGGAGGGCCCTCATTTGTGGAAAGAAGCAGCGGGGACCCAGGCCTGGCCCTACCGCACTGTAGCCACCCTACCCTGGCAGCCAGAAGGGAGTTGCTGAGTCAGGGCCACAGACAGGGTTCCTGGGCAGGGGAGGAGCTCTGGCATCCAGGGTGGGAGCACGTCAGTCACTGCGTGCAGATGGCCATGGGCAGGGCAGAGGTCACAGCCATGCAGAGGGCCTTCTTGGGTGAGGCCAAGGTCACAGGTGTGGAGTGGGTCATGGTCAAGGTGAGGGTCGTGGGCAGTCTAGGGTCTCCAGGATGAAGGTCAACCTGGAACTGGGAGCCATGGGTGGAGAGTAGCAGTGAGGGGGGTGGGCGGCAGGCATATTGGGCGGGGGTGGGCCTGTCAGTGACCCTGGAAGGGGCGCTGTCCCAGGAAGACTTGGAGTGCACCGAGCTGCTCCCAGCCTCGGCCTCCTCCTGGCACTCCTCGTGGCTGCTATGAGCAGGGGAGCAGAGGTGCAGGCCATGCTGGGTGCAGACGGGGCCTGGGTTTGCCTTGGGCACCTCGAGAGGATCCTCGCTCCCAACAGTCGGCAAGGAGCCAACCCCTGCCCTCCTGGCCTGCAGCTCCCAGCCTGTCTGGAGCCTGGGACGTGCAGAGGCCCCGCAGGGCCCCCGACAACTTCTCGTGGCCCTTGGAGGAGGGGGTCCAGAGCCTGGGTCTGTCTGAAGGTGCATTTCTGCCCACAGCCCCAGCTCCCAGGCAGGCCCAGGGGCCAGAAATGAGGCAGCCGCTAAGGGTCTGAAGGCATCCGTCACAACATAAACGATGATAAATTCCAGCCACCAGCTCGTGGCGTGAGAGGGCTGAGTTGTCTGTAGACGTGTGTGTGTGTGTGTGTGTGTGTGTGTGTGTGTGTGTCTGTCTGCCTCACCTCCTGCTCACACACACAGCGCGTCATGTTGTGAGGGGGCTGCAGAGGTGCAGCCGGCTGTTTGACCAGCTTCCCATCTGACTCAATAATCCATGGGCTCTGATTGTGTTCACACTCATTCATTATTTATCCACCGAAGCTCTTAGGAGTCCCAGGGGAGGCATTCCTTTCCATTCCTGGGCGGGGGGGGGGGCAGGGAGGCAGGCCATGAGAGATGAGACAGCAGAGCAGGACCCCGGGCCCTCCAGCGGGGCCCCACTGCAGACCCTGCCGTCTGTTCCTGAGGGCGAGGGCTGCACATGTGACACTTCAGTTTCCTGTTCCCTGAGGGGGAAACTGAGGCCTAGAGCAGAGAGGGGACTTGCCCAAGGCCACACACCCTTAATAGGCTGATGCTTTGATTGGTTGACTAGTTCTTTATCTGTCTCCTCTTACCCCTACCCAAAGAGCCTCCCCTACCAAAGTCTTTTCTTATTTTTTCACTGTAGCTCTTTGCATATTAAGGTTGTCAGGCTAAGGAAGCCCGAGGGGGCGCCTGGGTTCCATGGAGCACAGTCTCTTGGAATACCATCCAGGGGCCTCCTGTGCGGGGCGGGGGCAGGCCTTCCCTCATTTCTCCAAGGAGCAGCCTGGCTTGAGTGGTCAGAACAAGCATAGGGGGGCTTCCAGATGGGCTAGAGGCTGGGTGTGGGCCCAAGCACAGTTCTCCACTTCCTGCACCTGGAGTCTGTGCAGGCCTCCAGGGTGATGGACGGTAGTCCTGGGGTTGGGAGACGGAGCAGCCATGCCTCCCTCGGTGGCCTGTCCCTGGCTTTCTACCGAGGACATTCTGTATGCTGCTCCCAAGGCCACCTCCTGTAGCTGGCCTCTGCTCGCTGCCCTGAGCCACAGACCCCCTGGCCGTGTCCTACTGTGCCCATTTGCTGCGGGCAGCTCGTTCAGAGAGTCAGCTCTATTTCAAAGACCAGTGTGACCAGGGGCTACACCCTGGCAGGAACCCTATGTCAGGAGACAGGAACCATCTGGCTACAGGGGTCCCTGTAGCTTGAGGGCCTCCCTACTTGGGAGGAGCATGCGGTAGGAATGTGGGGGCCACAGACTAAGGCTGGGTCTGATGGGGCAGACAGGAACACTTCCCCCCCACCCCCCACCCCCAAGTTATGGACTCCTTCCTGGCCTGGCCAAGGCTGCCCAGCTCTCCTGCAGCTGTGCCTCCCCATCCCTGACCTCCCAGAATTCAGCCAAGGCCTGGGGACCTGCAAGGCCTATCTGCAGGGAAGGATAGGACGCATGGCTGGGCAGGGCTGCAGCCCATGGTAGGCAGAGCTGTGCTGTGCACACCTTTGGGCCTGGAGTCTAAGTAGGGTTGGGGGGTGTCAGGCCCAGCCCTCCTGCCCCCTGATATCTTCAGCCACGAATGTTATCTAGTCGGCTTGCTGTTTGCCAGGAGCTGGGCATTTCCTTATTAAATCCTCCCTACAGCTTGTGAGGAGTTTACTTTGCTCATCCCCATTTTACTGATGGGAAAATGGAGGCTCAGAGAGGTTAATGGACCTGCCCAAGGTCACACTGCAAAGTGGTGGAGATGAGACGCAGCTCAGGTCTATTGGACGCTGCAGACTGTGCTCTCCGGTTCCCACTTGTGAGGCGTTCTCTTTAGGAACACACGCATCTCATGCCATGATGTTTTACATTGATATTATATGACACTGTGTTCCTATGTTTGCATACTTTATTATCTATCGCAGGCTAACTACTTCAGAACAGCATTTGTTCACTGTAGGGAGCTTAGAAACTACAGAAGCGCAGGGAGAGGAACGGTACCAAACAGCCCAAGGCCCCAGCACTCACACATGGCCTTACTTACACATGGGGCGCCTGCTTCTTGTTAGCACCCACGGCAGGGCAGTCCCCCGGCCTGCCTTCTCTCCAAAGTCTAATGTCTCCTTGGCTCCGGAGCCTGGCCAGTCTTTCTGGGGAGGCTGTCTGGCCACGAGTGGCTCCCCCTCATGCCCCGTGGCCCCCGGGGCCCCAGCGCCCCCCGAGCACCCCTCTGCCGGGGGCCGGGCAGGACGGGCCGGGAGCAGCTCCGTTTCTCACCCTTGGCTCTTGTGTCTCTCGTTTCAGGAAATTAAAATGCATGACAGATAGCGAGTCCGTCCCGCCCGACTGGCCCTATTACCTAGCCATTGATAGGATTCTGGCCAAGGTCCCCGAGTCCTGTGATGGCAAACTGCCGGACAGCCAGCAGCCGGGGCCCTCCACGTCCCAGACCGAGGCGTCCCTGTCGCCGTCTGCTAAATCCACCCCTCTGTACTTACCGTATAACCAGTGCTCCTACGAAGGCCGCTTCCAGGATGATCGCTCCGACACCTCCTCCAGCTTACTGTCCCTTAAGTTCAGGTAGTGTGTGTCTTCCTTCCCCGCCCCCACCACCAGCAGGGGCCAGGGAAGGGGCCGGGTGCCGTGAGGGCCGGCTGATCTTCCGCCACAGAGGACTAGGTGGTATGCAAGTGCCTCCCGGGCCAGAGAGGCTTCGGACCAGGCTGGCCTTAGACAGGGAGGCCTCAAGCAGGGAGGGCTCAGATGGGGAGGACTCAGGCAGAGAGGCTGGCCTCAGACAGGGAGGCTGACCTCAGATGGGGAGGCTGGCCTCAGACGGGGAGGCTGGCCTCAGACAGGGAGGCCTCAGACGGGGAGGCTGGCCTCAGACGGGGAGGCTGACCTCAGACGGGGAGGCTGGCCTCAGACGGGGAGGCCTCAGATGGGGAGGCTGGCCTCAGACGGGGAGGCTGACCTCAGGCGGAGGCTAGCCTCAGGCAGAGCACCTCAGATGGGAGGCTACAGCTGACGGGGAGCTGACCTCAGGCGGAGGCTGGCCTCAGGCAGGGAGCCACCTCAGGCAGGGGGAGGCTGGCCTCAGACAGGGAGGCCTCAGACAGGGAGGCTGGCCTCAGACAGGGAGGCCTCAGACAGGGAGGCTGACCTAAGATGGGGATGCTGGCCTCAGGCAGGGGAGAGACTCAAACAAGGCCGGCCTCAGGCAGTGAGCAGCTATCTCAGTAGGAGAGAACTAAAACTTGGGAGAGCTGGCCTCAGACAGGGAGGAGACCTCCAGACAGACTGACCTAAGATGGGGATGCTGGCCTCAGACGGGGAGGACTCAGGCAAGGAGGCTGGCCTCAGACGGGGAGGCTGGCCTCAGGCGGGAAAGGAAGGTCAGGCAGGGGAGGCTGGCTCAGGCAGGGGCTGGCCTCGAGCGGGAGGGAGGCTGGCCTCAGACGGGGAGGCCTCAGACAGGGAGGCCTCAGACAGGGAGGCTGACCTAAGATGGGGATGCTGGCCTCCAGGCAGGGGCTGAGCAGGGAGAAGGGAGAAGCTGGCCTCGGAGGCAGGCTGGCCTCAGACGGGGAGGCCTCAGGCAGGGAGGCTGGCCTCAGACAGGGAGGCCTCAGATGGGGAGGCCCAGCTCAGGAGGCAGGGAGGGGCACCTCAGGCAGGGGAGGCTGGCCTCCAGGCGAGGGAGGCCCCTGACCTCTGGCAAGGGGAAGGCTGGCCTCAGGCAGGGGAGAGCTGACAGATGAGAGGGGCTAAGCCTCAGATGGGGGAGAGTTTCAGGCAAAAGGAGGCTTCCAAGCCTTGAACGGGAGCTGACTTCAGACGGGGAGGGGAGAGCCTCCAGGCAGGGAGGCTGGCCTCAGATGAGCTGACCTGCCTCCAGACAAACTGGCCTCAGGCAGGGAGGCTGACCTCAGGCAGGGGAGGCAGCCTCCAGACGGGAGAAAGCTGGCCTCAGACGGGAGGCTGACCTCAGACGGGGAGGCTGGCCTCAGACGGGGAGGCTGGCCCCAGACGGGGAGGCTGACCTCAGATGGGGAGGACTCAGATGGGGAGGACTCCAGCAGGGAGGCTGACTTCAGACGGGGAAGCCTCAGACCAGAGAGGCTTCAGACCAGGCCAGCCTCAGATGGGGAGGCCTTAGACGGGGAGGCCTCAGACCGGGCTGGCCTCAGACAGGAGACCTCGCACAGGGAAGTGTCAGACAGGGAGGCAGTTGGTACTGAAGTACAGGCCGTCCTGTCCATAGTCTGGGTTCATCTGGCTCCATCAATTTCTAGCTGTGTGGAAAGTCCTTGACCTCTCTGGGCCTCAGTCTCCCTTTGTAAAATGGGGATAAATCAGTACTTTCTCCAAGGATGGCTGTGAGTGTCAGAAGAGAGAACAGATTCAGGTGTGAGGCCTGGCACATGGAGGGAGACCAGGTGCCCTCCAGTTTCTGGCTTCTGGGCTTTCCCTCACCCCCAAGCAGACCCTGCCCTGGGGTCTCCTCCCTATCCTCACCAGGCTGGCTGGTCTTCTCAGAACCAGGGAGGGGTATTGGGCTGAGCCTCCAGAATGTGCTCAGAAGCTGGTTCAGCGGGCATGCCTGTCCTCCCCTCTGCAGTCCATCACAGACTTCCTGCTAGGCCAGCACTGGCCACGTGAGCCTGCCCTCGAGATGCCCACAGGAGGCTGGGGGACCAGAGGAGGGGACATTTGGGGTGGGCTCTCGAGAGGGGATAGGAGTTCGCCCGTTGAGGAAGAAAACAGGAGGAGTGTAGGTTTGAGTTATGGCCCTGCCTCTCCCCTCAGCCCTGGCCTCGGCCTTCAGGTCTGCCTGTCAGGGGTGATGGGAGGAGGCAGCTCTTCAGTTGGTCCAGGGCCCCTTCCCTGGAGGGAACTTCTCAGCAAAGACCCCAGACAAAAATGCCTTTGTGGATAGCCAGATGGAATCAGCTGGGAAACCTGAGATTTTTGGCCCATGTTTCCCCGGAATGACCCCAGTTCCCAGATTCCCTACTGCCCCAGACACTGCCCCTAATTTCTAACTAGGGCTGGGACGTGGGGACCGCTTCCTCGCCCCTCAGGTCTGCTGGGGCATCGCTCTGCTGAGGAGCATGGGGCCCCGGCTAGGGGACCAGCAAGGCCTTAGGGACAGGTGGGGTTGGGCCAGTTCAGCCAGGGACGCTTCCTCCCCCACGGCGGAGGGCGCAGGGCACGGGGCCGTGGTCACCTTCACCTTTCACCTCCCTGTGCACCGGAGGCTCCAGTGCCAGGCTTCCCGGGAGAAGCCACCCTGCCCGCACCCCCTCCCTCCCTGCCTTCCTCGTCTCTCGCCCCTCCCCCCGCACCTCCGCCCCGTGTGGCCTCTACCCCTGAGCCCCATACCAGGCCCGTGCCCCCCACCCACCCAGGCTGGGACTCGGGTCACTGGCTGTGCCCGCGGCCCCTTGCTGTCCCGGCCCCTCCTCGCGAGCTGCACGGGGCGGCCCCAGGCGGGCGCGCGGCGCAGCCCCACAGGGGGGCCGGCCAGTCCGCGAGGCGGTGGCGGGGTGGGGGGGGGGGGGAGGAGGGGGGCGGGGCCCCCCTGGTGCCCGGAGCGCGCGGCCCGCCGTCCACATGCTGGCGCTGTCCCTCCAGGTCGGACGCGCGGCCCGGGAAGAAGCGCAAGGTGCAGAACTGCCACCTGCGGAAGAAGAAGCTGCGGCTGCTGGAGGCCATGCTGGAGGAGCAGCGCCGGCTGAGCCGCGCCGTGGAGGACGCGTGCCAGGAGGTGCGCCGCGTGCTGGACCGCCAGAACCTGCTGCAGGTGCAGGGCCTGCAGCTGCAGGAGCGCATGATGAGCCTGCTGGAGAAGATGATCGCCAAGTCCGGCGTCTAGGCCGCCCGGCCCGCGGGGAGCGCCCCGGGGCTGCCCCTGGCCCGGGCGGACGCGGGCCGGCGCCTCTGGGGTCACCCCGGGCCGGCCCCCTGGTGAGAACCTCCCGGAGGCTGTCCTCCCGTACGGTCACTGTCGGTGGCCCTTGAAGCGGCTTCGGGTATTACACGCGGGGTCTCGTTCCTGCCGGAAGTCATTTCCACAGCTCGCAGGGAGCACGCCAGGCCGGTCGACTGCAAAACAGAAGCAAACGGAAGCGGCTTAGTGGCGGCTTTGTGCCCGGGACGGAAACTCTCGAAGGGGCCACGGCTGTCCTCACGCTCTCGGGGTCTGCTGCCCACCTAGGATGAGCTCCGACGGTGGAGCCGACCCCAGACGGCCACCGCATCCCTCTCCCTCGGGGCGTCAGACCTCCCCGTGAGGACGCCGGCGAAGCGATGACGGCTGTCCGCGTGCACCACGCCGCCCGGTTTTGCAGCCCCAGGGATGTCGTGCTGACGGGGCAGAGCCCGGGCCTCGGGCACTTGCACTCCAGCCGGGGAGGCAAACGAGTGAAGACGGGAAGGACGGGATAGCGGGTTGTGGTCAGCGCTGGCCGGGAAGGGCTGGCCCCGAGCGTGAGGAGCGGTGGCGCCCCAACCGCCAGCGGGAGCAACCAGATTCCAGGAGCCCCGGACAGCGCGACTGGGCCGCAGAGGCACGGGGAGCTTTCGCGTGCCGTGCTGGCTGTGGTGCTCTGGGTCCGGACCCACCATGCAGGGACGAGCTCGTGGTGGCAGGGTCCAGAGCTGCAACGTAGAGCTCACCTCCCCTGCCTCTGCCCTTTCACCAGCAGGAAAGCCTGTCCAGACGCTTCTCTGCTGAATTGCTCCTAAGTCTTGTTGGCTCCTTGGGCTTTTGGTCCCTGGCTGCACAGGGTGCTGGGCACAGGACCGTCTGGTTCACCCCTGGGACCAGCCTGTCGCTGCCCACACAACAGGGCTCTGAGGAGACATGGCAGGTGGGTTAGGGCAAGTGCCGTGGTTTCCCCTACGGTCTAGAAAAGCTCCTTCTGGCTGCTCCTGGGCAGACGGGTGGGGGTGGGGGCCGAAAGCAGAGGTCCTGCCAGGAGGACCGTGCCAATTGGTCCGTACCAATTCGCATGGCGTCTGCGTTCCCACCAAGGCCGGTTCGGCTACCGCCATGACGTCGCTGGACCCACGTGGGAGAGATCCGCACAGAACAGGCCCCGGCACCCCACGGCAGAGGAGAGCCTGGGGGGTCTCGTGCTGAAGCCCTGAGTGGGGGGCATGCCCACAGGAACCCACCAGTCTCTGAGACGAGATCCTGCCGCGAGAACTCAGCTGTTTCACAAACACCGAGGACAGAACCCCGTCAGAGCGGCCGTGCCAGAGGGGCGCCCGAGGTGGCCACAAAGTTAGGCGGGAGGTCCCTCCCCTTATATGCCTTTGCTTTGCTGGCACCGTGGTTGTGGCGTGCTAGTGTGTGGGTAACTGCGGGGCAGCAGGTGCAGTTCTGCATTTGTGTTTAGAGATAATTTGCACTTTTTCCCAGCTCCCTCTCTGAGGGGGGGGTCAGTGCTGTTTCTGTGTCTTGCCAAGTGGGCACTGCCCACCTGTCCCGTGGGCTGGAGCAGAATCCGGACAGTCAGCGGAACTCAGCTGTAGGACCGCCTGGGCCGCGCCCTTCCTGGACAGCGTGTCCTCGGCGAGTTTCTGATTTGTTCTGTAGTTACTGGTCCGTGAAGGGGGGGAATGTGGCCGTATCGGTGAACGCTAAGCTATTTGATAAGATTCAGCGAAACAACGTGTTAACACTGAAAACAAGTCAGGAACCAGATGCGCGTGCTTGCTTTCACTGTTATTAGTTAGCGTTGACGTTGATAGCTGATGCATTAAGACAAATGGGCAGGATGAGAGATGAAACGAAGAAATGAAAATTGCCTTATTTTCAGGTGAGATCATTGTATGCCCAGAAAGCCAAACGTACAGATCAAGAGCTCTGTAAACTACCCTGACCCTGTGGCATCCGAGACTGGAGCATTCCATGCACGGTCATGACTGAGAACTACAGGGAATCTGTGAGTGAGTTTAACCAGAAAGGTGCAGGATCGACAGGAAGAAAACTGCGGTTTATTGTTAAATCTGAAACGGTTCCTGAGCATGTGGGGAAACGGCGTACTCCTACAAGTTCCAGAATAAAGTGTCATCACTTTGTTAGTATAATTCCAACTATATTTTCAATAACGTTGTGGTTTTCTCTTTGTTTTGAAATGGAAGAAAATAGTTTTGAGTTCATATGAAAACCGAGAGGGGCAAAGGGCCTGAGGCCAAAGACTGTGAGGAGGCGTGCTCGGCCTCATGTAGCACCAGGTAATGCGGAATAAAACCGGAGTGAGCCTTCCATTAGTGGTTGAAGCTGGAAAAACGTGGGGACGTGGAAACTCACACCCTGGCAGGGGCAGTGGGAACTGGCACAAGTGCTCGGGAGCAGCTGGGCCTCACCCCGCACAGCTGAGGCCACGCAGGCCTGCCGCGGCCCCAGCGCTCTCGGGGGCCCTCCACGCACGCCAGTGATTGAAGGCCTCAGAGCTTCTGTCCGCGTGCCTTCTAACCGCCAGCATTAACACCCCATAGATGACCTTATTAGAAATCAGACCTGAGACTTAAAAGATCTTAGTCCTTTCAAAATAACAATAAACCCCATGACATGCTAACATAAAAAACAATCACGGGAAAAATGTATTTTCCAAAACAAAAGGTTTTAGCGAGAAGAGTGGCGTTGTGTCACATACCCTCAAATATCCGGCCTGAGAGAAGCCAGCTCCACACTCAGTCTGTTGCGGGATGTGGCTCGGCTGTAAGTGTGCGAGTGTCTGTGCAAAATCCAGGGTCACACAGATAGATGTTTGAAAAAGAAAGAGGTCTTCTTTTTTTTTTTTTTTAAGTTTATTTATTTTGAGAGACAGAGAGAGCATGAGTAGAGGAAGGGCAGAGAGAATCGCAAGCAGGCCCTGCACTGTCCGCACAGAGCCCAATGCGGGGCTCGAACCCACAAACTGTGAGATCATGACCTGAGCCGAAACCAAAAGTCAGACGCTCAACTGGCTGAGCCCCCCAGACGACCAATAAAAACGACGGATCTTCTAATAACGTGTATGGATCACGCGGACATTCTTTCCCGGCAGGACCCCCACAGGCTTGTTGAGACGTGGAGTCAGCCTACCACGAGCCGGCAGAGCTGTGTCGCAGCAGCAGCCATCCATCCGTCTCGCGCTTTGGCGGATCGTCATTCGTGCTTCTGGAACACCGTGCGTTAGGCATTTGGAAAATACTGGTTCACCGAGTTATGCCCATCTTCCTCGCCGACACAGTGCATTAAACATCCTCGAAAACTCACTTTTGTCACTGGCGGGGTCACGCTCATAGCGAAGCCTTTCCTGTGGGACATTAAGCTCATGGTGGTGGATGCAAGTCTTTCTGGCCTTGGTGTGAAAGCTAGACGTTTCCATCGGTCACCATGTGAGTTGGTTTCCTTTTGAAGGGACAGCTCCCTTTGCTCATTTCCAAGAGAATGTCCACCAGGTGCCCACGTCCTTCTCTCAAGCGAAAGTGGAGTTCCAGCGAGAAGTGTTTTCAGCTATGTTTCAGCTGGCAGCTGGAACATTCCGCAGGTGCTTCTCCCAGACGTCGACACAGGGGTGGACAGGAGTGTGTTACACGTACTATCCATGTGTCACAAGGAATATTAAAAGGATCCAGATTTAATAAAATTGAGTAATTTCTTACTGCCTCACCAGGGTCACTCTTCAGGGAAATTGGCATTTTCTGTGGAGAGCATGTGGTGGGAGGGAGGTGCCTGCCCTGATTCTTGCTGAGGACCCAGCCATTGGACCCACGCTGCAAATGCCAACATGCTGAAAACAGCGGAGGACGTTTTCTTTCGTGATAATGGAGAATAATCCGGGCCTTGGGGACACCCGGGGGTCCACAGACCACAGATCGAGAACTGCCCTAGGGAGGCCGGAGTGGGCGCGAGGCCACCGGGACGAGACTATGTGCCGGATCGCATCCTAGGATGCTCCTGAGTGTCGCACAGCTGGGGCAGGGGTGAGGAGGTGGGCCGCGGCCAGTGTGTGTGTGTTCTCCCCATACCCGAAAGTCCCCGTGGGTGGGCTGGTCCCCTGAGCGTGCTCAGAAGGAGGCCCTGTTCCCCTCTACCTAAGAGCGCTTCTGACTGTGCTGTGTGCCAGGGACAGGGAGTAGTTGGGTGTCAGATCAAAATCCCTGTTCTTACAGGCTTTACGGCGGGAGGCGGAGGGGGGGGACGCCCTCAGCAGACAAAACGGTCAGCGCCTGAGAGAGAAATAGCCCCCGAGGGGCTTCTGGATCGCAACGCACCGGCAGAGAGAAAGCCTGCGTGCAGCGAGCCAGGCTGGGGCGGGAGTTCGGTGAGGCGGGAGCCCACGTTTTCCCGCCAGGGAAGCAGGGTCGACGTGACTGTCCTGGTTTCCACTGGGAGTCAGGTCCCCGTCGGGAGTCCCCACGCTGACTGGCTGGGCGGGGACCCCCAGGCACCGGCTCTGAGTCAGTGGCTGTCTCCAGGCTGAGCGAGCGCGGCCGAGACACCTGGCGGGACTCGTGAGGGGCGGTGTTACACCCAGACCTGGCCCAGGTCCCTCTCGGGTGGGCCCAGTGGGACCCCGCACCCACCCGAGGTCACCTACCCACTTCCTGAAGGTTCTTTGGGCCAAAGAACAGGCCCAGTCCCCCAGTGGCCCCAGAACCACCTTACTTTCCAAAACTGAAGCCCCGACCAGTGCAGGAGTGTGGATCCCTGGAGCGGCTCCGTTCAGTTTCGGAGGCAGATGAGTCTCGAGGACAACAGGGGGCTCTGTCAGCTCGGTCAGGTGGAGGCACCCCTTGCAGCTGCTGTTGCACGTGAGGCCTGTTGACTGGAGCAGGTCAGCAGCCCACAGCCCGCACTTTCCTCCCAGGCAGTGT